ACATGAGATCGTATTATACATGAGATCGTATTACACATGAGATCATATTACACATGAGATCGTATTACACATGAGATCGTATTATACATGAGATCGTATTACACATGAGATCATATTACACATGAGATCGTATTACACATGAGATCGTATTATACATGAGATCGTATTACACATGAGATCGTATTACACATGAGATCGTATTACACATGAGATCGTATTATACATGAGGTCTTATTATACATGAGATCGTATTATACATGAGATCGTATTATACATGAGATCGTATTACACATGAGATCATATTATACATGAGGTCGTATTATACATGAGATCGTATTATACATGAGATCGTATTATACATGAGATCGTATTACACGAGGTCGTATTACACGAGGTCGTATTACACATGAGGTCTTATTATACATGAGATCGTATTATACATGAGATCGTATTATACATGAGATCGTATTACACATGAGATCGTATTACACATGAGATCATATTATACATGAATAAATACGGTAAATGTGTACTTTTTTTAGCTCTAATACTATGAATTTTCTTTATTTTTTCTGTATGCAAACCAACTATTTATGCATGCTTTGTTTTTCATACATCTTTTATCAGTAAAGTTTTATACCTCTGAGTGGATTTTCACAAAAAAAAAAAAAACGTATTTTTGTAGTAAAACAGGTGATCTCAGTTAAGTGTTGTAAAACTTTCTCAGACGAAATACAGAAAAATAGATAAAATCTGTTTTTATTCCTGGTCCTCAGAGCCAAGTGATCTGTATAATTCAAACATTCTCCTGGTTTAAATTGATGAGACATTAACGGGCTTCTGCAGAACTTAATGACCCACTGAGGAGGTAAATAATTCTTTTGAATAAGACATTTTGAAGCATATGAACAGCTGAAACATGCAGGACATGGGGCACAGAGGAAGCAGAGATGAGAAACGCCGTCTCGAGGTTTTGTCTTCTTTTACCCAGTTTAAATAAAGCTGTCTCCTGTCTTTGTTTACGTGACCTCAGGTATTACATGAACCTGTGTCAGGGGATCCACGGCGGGCTGACAGACTGTCCAGAGGGGGCAGCGGTGTGCCGACACTCATCAGGACAGACTCAGATCCTGGGATTTGTTTACACTCAGAAAATGAGCTACGCCGGTGGGCAAAATCATTTAATTTTAAATATCTGTTTAAAACTCAGCCTGCCTAAAAAAGACAAAAAAAAAATACACTTTCACACAGTGAGCTGCAGGTTTTAATGAAGTCTCATCACAAACCTGATTTCCTCTACAGATGAAAAGATCTCCATCAGCTACTCAGCAGGAGATGACGTCTGTGGAAACGGCCTGAAGGCCAGGACGGTGATCCAGCTGAGCTGTGGTACTACATTTGGTCACCCGTCACTCATCAGGTAATGTGCAGTCCAAACATTTCTTCAGTTTGATTTTTATATTTTACCTCCCACAAACAAACACATGGCAGACGTTCAGTTAATGACAGATGGGTACGTTTGTCTTTAAAGTTAAAGTTTGCTTCCTTTAGCGTCTCACTGTAAAAACAGACTCGTTATTCAGTCACTGGCCTGGATTCTAGCCTGGGGTTAAAAACACAATCACAAAAAGAGCTCCGAAATTATTATTATTGGGTGAACATTTGTCAAACATTTTTATTTTTAAACGTATCTCGTTCCTCACTTTTTGTGCTATTTTAACAGTGGTTATGTCAAAACATTCATCTCTTTCCAGACATTTTTTGGCCATGACTTTTGATATACAGCAGGTAAAATAAGTATTGAACACATCACCATTTTTCGCAGTAAATATATTACTAGAGGTGCTAATG